TCCTGTTATGGGGGTGTTTCTCTGCAGCAGGGAATACAGGATATTCAGCTCTGTCAGGATATAAGGAAAAATGGATGGGGCAAAATACCATCAAATTCTTGAGGAAAATCTGCTGCCCTCTGCCAGAAAGTTGTCAATGGGAAGAAGGTTTACCTTCCAACATGACTATGACCCAAAGCACACAGCAAAACTGAACACACAGCGCCGGTGCGCTCACTTGCACTTAAAATACTCCTCATTTTTGGTCATACAGATAAAAGTAATACATCTTTCGAATCTGTGAAGACTCTACATTTATTTGTGTGCACTCACAATACCGCGCTTTTGTAAAATAATGAAAGCAAACAGGATGCGCTTTCTGCCGTCTCGGTCTGTGAACTTGAGCACGAAACTCTGTGTATATATTTGCCTTACAGACATTAAAAATATATCTATAGAGAGTGAAATGTGTACTTTCAAATTAAACAATTAAAATGGAAAACAAATTCTCGGATTATGTAATCCGTATGAAACATACATACAGGCGCATCACTACTACGGAGATGACGAGTCAGTGTCGCCGACTTCATCTCTGAAGCTGAAAACAAAGAAAGCACTAGTTTATCAAGTTATTAAAATGTTAATGCAGTCTCCTTAGTGTTTTTCACTGACACATTCATAATATATATATATATATATATATAATAAATTTTATTTTTAGAAAACAAAACAACAAAAGTTTTGACCTTTAAGATAAAGACTGCCTGAAGACGTGCTCCCATAAACTCTCACACAGCCACATTCACTCTTAATCAATGAATCTTGCATACTGCAAATGCCTCCAATGCAAAATTCAATAGATTGCGTGATGTCAAGTTGAAATCTTAATTTGTACCCCACTGACTGATCAATACCACCTCTATACGAGCGATAAACACATAATCGGCCTACATGGGAAGGTTACACAAACAGGGCACAAACACAACACTCGTAATTAACACTGGCCTGGGGTTATAACGCTTTACGAATGCGAGGCGAGAGAGAGCGAGAGAGAGAGAGAGAAGAAAAAGGGCATTCATTCATTCACTGGCGCATGCAACATTGATCTGTGTGTTTGTTTGCAAATACGGCAATCGTTTAAATGCAGAATAACAACTAAATTAGAGGAAAATCGCTAGCAACAAGTGAGTGAACGTGGCTGTCGGTAACATAAAACGGAGAATGCGGCAGCTATACAGCTGCATGATATAAAGAGCTGGTCTGGTCGCAATCAGCTCCTGAAAGTTTGCAGCCTTGCCCTGTGTTTAGCCTCTCTCTCATGATCTTGCATCAGCTCTCCCACATTGATTAGCTTTTTGAAAAGCACTATAATAAGTGAATTAGAGCTGAAGGAGCTGGCAGGAGGGAAGAGATTTCCTGTCACCAAGACGGCTTGTGTTGGCGAGGGGACACAAATATGAAAGTAAATAAACAGGCTGGTGGGAGGGGAAGTTACGACGTGATGCAACTGGCAGAAAGCGCTGAGCCTAGATCTCCTTGGACGGCTGGAAGGTGGGTGCAGGGCGGTGAAAACAGGGACGAGTTTGCATGTCTTTCTCTCGCACCCTCAGACATCAAAGCGTTTTGAAGAACCAAAGCTGAGTCATCATCACAGTGCAGCACATTTCATATTCATAAAGCTCTCTGTGCTCACACACGCGAAACTCGGACACACGGCCACAGAGAGGTGCAACGGCTGGTAATTAGTTTATATCCACTCACTATATAAAAGTCCCTGGTCTTATTGTACACGATTCATCAGTACATGATATTTTAATAAGAAATTTCTCCACCTCTGAAACAACTGTTTTATTCAGCTGATGTAACCAAGGCCATGCAGGCAGGGAAACACAGAAAGTGGCTGGCGTACTGTAAGTCAGCAGAGCCCACCCTCAAGTCGCTATACTAAGTAAATAAAAGAGGTAAAATAGTATTTAAAAAAATATTAGGGTTGTGCCGATAGACGATAGTATCGTGTATCGACGATAGTCAGAGATATTGACGATAGCAGATGACTTTGTCGATAGTCAAGACGATATTAGGCTCATTCTCCTATTAATGTATTAATAATAATAATAATTATTATTAATATTATTAGGCGGCCCATTATAATTCGGCTATTATTATCAAATTGCCCCGATTTTTCATTCAGCACTGTATTTCACAACACACGCAAATGAGGAGCCTGTAGCCGGTGAAGGAGTCTCCAACCACAAACACAGACACATATCGTCTGCTGATATAAGGTATTTCGTTGCACTTTAACAAGTAATCTGAACGGCCTATATATGTGCAATATTTTAACCGAGCCCTCACTAACTGAGTTTAATGCCACAGTTATGTTAGAACGCATCTCATTCTTGTTTCTGTGGCGGTGCGTCGGGCTCATCATGGGGCGCGCGGTCCGGAGCGCTGTATGACTGATGTATCCGTTTAATTTAAATTTACTCCAAATATATGAACTTACCTGTTTTAAATACTTTATATATTTAACGTGTTCGTTTATGTCCAATATTTAGTGTTAATCTGTTGGTCTTTAAAATAAATCTACTTTTGATTTTCACCGTTGACTGATTTTGCAGACCTTTTAGACTGATAACTTCCGTGCTCTGATGCGGCAAACTTGTTACAGGACGCGCGGTCCTAATAGCGAAGTATGACTGTTGTATCCGAATATATATGAACTATTTTTGTTTTTAACATGTTAGTTATCAGTATGTTGGAAAGTATATTATTTAGATTCGTGGTGCTTCCATAGGCTCCCTCTCTCTCACCAAACAGTTATGAAATAGCCTATGACAAGTACAGAGAGTCTCTCTCTTGCCCCCACCCACGCACGATAATAATAAATAAGGGTGTTTTAGCATTTTTTTTCATCTGGCAGGTGAGGGATAGTTGTTGAACAGATATAGGTGAAGTAGTGAACAATAACAAAAAATAAATAAAATAAAATAATAAAATGTATAAAGTTTTTGTTGCAAAACATGTTGAAAAAATTGATTCTGAAACAAAAACGTAACAAAATTGTAAGAACATCATGTCATAAATGGTTTGCTCAATAGTAATAGTAATGAAATCCTTAAAAACTACAACAACTACTACTACTAATATCAATTTTCACAATCAAATCAAATTGACCGCAACATGTTTCACTTGGAAATATTTACACCACAGAAGTTACAAATTACAAATGCAATTTCAAGAGTGCATCTCGGGAGGTTATTTTATGGTGAAGCAAACATAAAACTGACCGTTATGTTGTTCTGTTTGTGCATAAGTGTGTGCGTGT